ACTACACGAGGCTATGCGTCTCCTAGCGCTTAGCTGTAGTCGCTTATGTAGTATGTTACCATATTTGGGACTCTCTGCTCGTGTACTATAGCTATGCTTCCGGACTCTTCTGGTACTGTCTAGGACAATCTGTACTACTCCAGAATGGTCTAGACAGGTCTATGCCTTACTCATCTCTTACTCATCCTATAGTGCAATACGTCGCAATTCTTTTGTCATTGTATTATTCATCGCACTATGGTACATGTGACTAACCACTCTTCGATTAGTCATGGACACTTCTCTGTAGTATATAAGGACTTCAGATTGTGTCCTCCCTCTTCAGTCTTTCCTTACTGACTGAAGAGTGAGTACTTCGTTACCTTTATCTCCAACTTGTAGTTACTTACTTAACCTTTGTAGTCTTGCTTCGACTCTAGGTACAGTTGGTTACTGCAATATAGTCTTTCTTTACTGACTGAAGATCTTGCTTCGACTCTAGTCAGATCTAATCTTTGTCTTCACAGCCCCGAGTTTATCAGCTGGAGGAAACGCTGACTTACCTGTAACAAAAAGTGTTTTGGAGCACACTTGGTTTCCCGCTCCGATCAGCATGGGGACGAACCCTCAGAAGAACGTTGTCGAAAACGTTGTAGAAAATGGTACAGCAAACAACCCAGCATACATCGCAGTGAACGATGCAGTAAACACCTCAGGGAACGCTTCCTGCCTGTCATTGCCGCCGCCCTTCCCTGCCGGTGTTCAACTCCCACTCCCTGCGATTGCTGCCTCACAATTCACTCCTCGTGCTCCCTCCACGATCTCGGTGGGCCTCCTCCCAGTCCCAGATAGCCATCTTCTCTCAGGCCCTGCAGGTGCCTCTTCTCTAGTCCGAGCGAGTGATCTGCGCCCCGGTATGGCAAATGCTCCGCCCCATTCCCAATGGATAGGGAGCTCCCCCAAGCTATTGAATCCGGCAAGCATCCTGAAGAGTAGCGAAGCTTTGCTCCCACTCCTTGCGGATGTTCCGTATCTGGCCTCATCAGAGAATTTGGAGAGCGTTCAGGCGCGCGCTATGGTAATAGGTTCAGCGACCGTTGCGCCACACGTCACGTTCGATGTTCCGGTAAACGCTGCGCCAAACGTCGTGGGGAATGTTGCACCGCGCGTTGCGCCAAGGGCCGCGCTAAACGTAGCGGAAAACACTGCACGAAACATTATGGAAAACACTGCGCCAAACGTCCCAAGAAACGCTGCGCCAAATGTCTCGAGAAATGCTGCGCCAAACGTCTCGAGAAACGCTGCCCTGAACGTAACGGGTCACGCTGCGCCATATGTCGCGGGAAACGCCGCACTGAATGTCTCGGGAAATGCTGCGCCATATGTTGCACCAAACGTAGCGGCAGCCATCGTAGGACACCTTTCCGGCCTGTTTCCAGCAGGCGAGGATGAGGACGAAGACGAGGACAAGGATGAAGACGAGGATGATGAAGATGTGGAGGAAGGCGACGGCCCCAATGCTACTGGTCGTATATCCGAAGCTAGTCTTGAGCGTGTCAGAGATGGGTTAATCCAGGTGCAGAAGTCGGCCAAGGATATTGCAGCGGAGACGGGTCTCTCTTTGTCGCAAGTGTTTGATCGGTGGATGTCAACTAGCCAGCGCACGCACACGAAACGGAATCCCTGGAACCTATATAGCGCATACTTCAAGGACAACGAAGAGCAGGAACTGGCGCGTCTGAGAGAGCGTGAGTTCACTGTGTATTCATATGAATATTACATACTCATGTACTGCCCATTAGCCTGTGCTGGTAACTTGTTTCATTCCTGCGAAGACGTCGCATACTCACTGCTTATCCCTTACTAGAGGGTGCTAGCGATACAGACATTCGTCGTGCCTGCTATAGGGCATTCTTAGCTAACATGGAACCCAAGGCGCATGAAATTCTCACCAAGTATAGTACACTCCGGCAAATTCAAGCTGGTAAGAGGCAGACGAATGCCGAGCGCAAGGCTCAATTCAGGAAATTTCAGAAGAAGCTGCAAGATCACGTACGTTCTAAAGGATGAGTTTTCAAATCACAACCCACTCACGGTGCTGTCACAGTTTTCTCATGCCACGTGACCTGGGGGTCATGTGTACTGGAACAGACGCTCACCTTGACCGCGGACAACTCGTATCGGAAAGTGGAGGGGCCAGGATCGAACCCCAGACCTCGTGACGGCCAGGAGCGCCCATCCTCACTCACAGGCAGGTGACTGATGTGACAGCAGGAGCGCTTACTTGTTGGGAGGGGTCCGGACTTGGCACGACTCAGGTATTAGTCGTAAGGTCACCATGAGGCAGGTCAGAGGGTAGGACATGAGGCAGAGAACTCTGACCAAACGATGGTCAATAGGTACCTGGTCTGTGCACCGTTGTATTAGTATATATAGTAGGGAGTCTGAGGCAGGGAACCTCAGACTTGATCTTCTCGTCGATTCCCCATCTCCTCTGTAGGTAGCTAGCAGCCCTACCTCCCTCACTACCCCTTCTAGTCTAGGGAATACATCTCTTCACATCTCTTGCTGTGTCACCTCTGGTTGCTTCGCTTCTCAGCACCAACC